TCAAATTAGCTGGGACAAAAACCCAGTTTTTCCTCCATAAGAATAACATGGGATGGGAATTCAAAGGCCACTGGGGCACAGCCCCAAGGGAATTTACCACGTTTCTCTTTTGATGGCTCATCTACAGACCAAGACCTTTCTTTAGACACCCCTACCGAGTTTCTACGCCCAGCCGTTCTCTCAATTTAGCTATGACAAAGAAAAACAGTTTCAAATTAATATATAGATAGTTTATTGCCATTAAGTATACATGTCATACAATAGGCCAGGTCAATGGAGATAATATACAATTCAAAGTACAATGTACAGAGTCAAGTGTAAATAGATGAACATGCTATACTTAATAAACTAATAATACTGGGTTTTTGTACAAAAGTATTTGAGATGTATTGATAATGATGATAATAATACTGTTTATAGTTAAGCAAACAAGTTGGGTAAGTACATATAACAAAATAATTAAGGCTAAAATTGGCAGTGAGATACAGCTTAAAACTAAATAACAATAAATTTTTAAATAAAGTTGACAGAAATTCATTATTATGAAAGACTATTATATCAAAGTTCATGAAACCATTATTACATACTTTAGAAACAATACCCTACTTAACAATTAGAATTTTACAGAAAATCATCATGTTTGAAAGATAAAAATTCCTCGATAGAGTAGATAACCTTTCTGTTCAAAAAATCGGTCAATACATTTTTCAGTGACTTAATAGGCAAGTTGCGTACATTTTCAGGGAGGGCATTGAAAAGTTTAAGTTGTAAATATTTATAGCTGCGCTGTGTTGAGGCCAGTCTTAATGATGGTAACTCTAAATTATTCCTTAGTCTGGTGTAATGATTGTGAGTTAATGAGCGAGATAAGAATTGTTCAATATTTGTTTTTACAAAAATGATATTCCGCAAAATGTACACACTTGGTAAAGTGAGAATTTTGTATTCAGGAAAAAAGGTCTTACAACTAACTCTACTTTTTATGCCAGCTAGGATACGGATTGCTTTTTTCTGTTTTTTAAAAACGTTAACTGCCCCGCTACTACTGCCCCACAAAATTACCCCATAAACTAAGTGACAATGAAAGAATGCATAATAAACATTAATTAACATACTTAAACTAACATGATTTTTCAACCTTCTGAGCAGAAACAAAGAGTTACTTAACCTTGCAACAACCATTTCAGTATGACTACGCCAAGATAACTTACAGTCTAATATGATTCCTAGCAGTTTAGCATTTGATACTTCAGATACAAGATTTGTCTGTGAAAAAATAATTGAAACAGTTTTGTCATTGTTTACTGAAAATTTATTTGCCTTAAACCAACTATCGGCTGCTATTTTCATCTCCTCAGTTTTAATTTTTACCTCTTGCAAAGATTTGCTTGAGACTATTAAGGAGGTGTCATCTGCATACAGTACTGATTTTGAAGGGAGATTAGATGGAAGATCATTTATTGCAATTAAAAACAAAAAAGGGCCAAGTACAGAACCCTGGGGTACTCCTGCTGTGACTTCTTTCCACTGAGAGGTTTTATTGTTGGCTGATACCATCTGATATCTATTTCCTAAATATGATTTAAATAGATCTAAAGTTTTATCTTTTACACCATAGTAACTTAACTTATCAATCAACAGGCTATGAGAAACACAATCAAATGCTTTACTTAAATCTACTAAAGTTAACTCTAAAAAGGCGTGTGATTCGAAAGCATTCAGAATGTCATCAACAACTGACTTACAAGCATCGATAGTTGATAAACCGGCTCTGAAGCCAAACTGGGAGTTGCTTAGAAAATTATGATTACTAAAAAAGGCACTTATTTGGTTATAAATACAACACTCAATAACCTTAGCAAATACCGGGACAAGGGTTGAAGGGTACCGGGATTTGAGGGTAGAACGACCTGAATGGGGTTGATATAGTTGTTGAGACATTCGATAGAAAGCTGTTTACAATGGGACCGTGCCCGTGAAAATGCATAATAATAGTTAGCATTGAAAGTTCTCTTGTACATAAGATGCAGTCTTTTCTTCTCGATGACTAGTTTCTTGATCTGGGGACTAAACCAAGGAGGGAAAGATGTTCCGATCTTGATAACAGGAGTATTCCTCAGTACACACGTTTTTACCACATTGACAAAGATTGAAAAGTAAGAGTTTACATCGAGGGGTGGCAATGTGGAGGTGGGTGGGAGATTAAAGAAAGTGCAAAGATCAATCTCCTGGAGTTCCTTCCTAATATTCACAAGATTGCATTTCCTGAAGTTAGGAACGAGTGACACTCTAGTACATGAAGTATTGGCGGAGGGCAGGAAAATGCTTAGTGCAGGGTGATGACAGTCTTCTATTACCAGGGGGTCTATATCTCTGGAAACAACAGTGTGTGGTTCAGATGTGAATACAACATCAAGGATTACGCCACGTGAGTTCCTTACACCGTTAGCTTGAGACAGATGTGAGTTAAGACCAGGTCACCCAAGGCTCTAGCAGCGCAGGGTCTTGAAGCCATGTGATTGAGATTGTCCCAGTCAACTGCAGGTTGATTCAAATCACCCATCAAGAGTATGTGAGTAAAGGAATCGAGGGCAACTGCCTCCTCAACTGCCGCAGAGTAGACCTCGTAAGAGGCATTTGGGGTGTCAGGGGGAATGTATGTGACGCCCATGAGAGACTTGACACCATATGCTTTCAAGTCATATTCATATGCTGTGAAAAAATATTGGTACCTATATTTGGATTCAGGAGGTAAAAAACTGTAAAGTAAGATAACAAAATAAAAAAATTGTTTGGGGGCACCTGACTTATAGTAGGCTAAGTTAAATAATTATTACAGCTGGCCATAATTATTTCATTGGTGGGTTCAATCCTGACAGGGTTTGATGGGGTAGTTCCTCAGAGAACCTGTGATGTATTAAAATAACGATATATATCAATGTGTATCCGATCTGATATTAATATTGCATCGATTATTTTAAACCATATGATAGGCCTAATAAAAAAAAATTACAAACAACATTAAAGACAATTTTTATTTTTATTTTTTTATGATTCATTAAATAGCCTATTATAGGTAGGCTATTTGTTTTTGGTAGGGTACGGTAATATTTATTAGGTATCGTTTTTATTGTTTAAACCGACATATTGAATCGGATACCGTAATTATCGATGAGTTACAGTAGCTTGAACAACGTAAATCATCCAGTAGGCGTAATATATCACAACTTCTCTGTGGAAATTTACCTGTTTGATGGAGTTTACTTATCAGGTGTGGTTAAAGTAAGTTAACTGAAGATATTTAACTTATTGAAAAGATTTATTAAAAACCCAAACAGTAAAAAAACTTGACCATTTTAATAAAATCAATTTTTGCTGATGATAATATTTTTATCTGCCAAATTACGTATCAAATAACATTGTTAGGTCAAATCCTCAAAAATGTATCCATTATCCATTTAAGTACCTAACACTGTGATTTTGACATTTGTTCTGATTTATAAACAGAGGATCTAACTTATCTAAGTATCTAAATTTAGCATGTAAACCTAAACACAGAGAAGTGTGTAATAACTTAACCCTCTAACTTTACTATCAGTGTTACTATTAGTCATGAAAAATGGTGGCTGTAGTTTTCTCCATTAATCGTTTTTGCTTTTAATAATCATTTTTGCGGTATAAACACTATTTTGATAAGCTTACATATGGTATCATAACTCTCAAAACTATAACAATTCATTCACGGCACTTTTTAGGTGTTTGGGAAGTAGCAGAGTGACTTAACTTATAGTCACAGTTGTAAAACATATGTTATTATCATTTATTCCAAAACTTTTTCTTTCTTTACTTTCAAATGGCATAACCTCCAATGTGTAGTTTGCTAGTTTACTAGATTCATTTATAGTAACATTTGTTTCTTTGTTAAATTTGCTTATTATGGTTTAGTTTTACTTAGGGCCTTCTGTTTTTCTTTTGTATTTCTATCATAACGATAAAATATAACTGAAATTGGGATGTTTACATTTCTATTTGGAGTAATAACCATTTTTCAAACTGCAAACATCTTAACGTTTCCATCACTTTACATCTACATAACCTTGTCATTCCTAAAACAAAACATCGACTAGGCCTAGTTCAATAATTCCCATAACCATGCTTACAATTTAAGAACTTCTTATAATCTTCCAGTCCCTGTCCACTGTAGCCTACAACCTTTTTTCAAAAAAATCTCCCTTACAATGCAGTAAATATCTTTAACAACCTTCCAACGCATCTAATGGGGGAGCCAGACCATCTAAAATTCAAAAGGAAGTTAAAATCATTTCTATTAAATAAATGCTACTACATTGTCCGTGACTTCCTGACGGACGGCTAGAGTCTTAATTGTTCGTGAAATAAAATAATTTGTAAATATTATGTTTAAGTTAATTTTACTATTTTATGTTCAATTCCATTGTTTATTATTATTTTGGCGCAACCTATCCATGTAATTGTGTCTACTTGGTTCAATAAACGAGTTAAGGTAAGCCCTACGAACATTTTGACTATTTTGGATTTTCGGCTACTTAAAAAAATCCTGTAACTGTTCATACTTTTTTATTTCAAAAGTTTACTACATTAAGTTACCTTTAAATACCTATTTATAGTTTTAATATTTCTAAATTCTTCATCATATTACGCACAAAACAAATATATGGCTCAATAGGTCTGCTTTATTGGTTAAATTGATTTTCTAATATGTCTGTAAGTTTGCAAAAATTGCCTTGCCATTCCAGAGGTAACTATGCGCCAGTTGGAGGGTTATAATAGGTCCCTACACAAAACACAAAACCCTGGTGACTAATCTAGTAGTTGGATCCATTTCGCTCATTTTTAAACTCCAGTACAAGAAAGCAGCCAGTTAAAACAATTTAACTAAGTTAATTTCAATAAAACTAATTTTTTGAAAATGTTGTTGATCAATCGTTTTGTTGTTACTGAATTGTTTTTTTTTCTTTCAGGGTCGAGATGCTCACCAGTCCACAGAAACACTTCCTCCACTGCCTTCTTTTCTTTACCCTAATAATATTTTTTGAGCTTTTTACCGGCGGTGTAAAATTAACATCCAATCAAGAACTCAATTTCGATCCCTGGGAGAAGTATGGTTATTTGGGTGCTTTTGTTTTGTACATCCTCCGATTGTTAACATTTCTGTCTTTACCTCAAGTCCTTCTCAATTTTGCCGGTCTAACTTTATATAATGCATTCCCGGATAAGGTAGTGCTAAAGGGGTCTCCTCTGTTGGCCCCTTTTATTTGCATCAGGATAGTAACAAGAGGGGACTATCCTCTGCTTGTCCGTTCCAATGTAGAAAGGAATATGGCAATATGCACACAGGCGGGGCTAGAAAACTTTCTCATTGAGGTAGTAACTGACAAACCTATCAACTTACCGGTCCATAGAAGAACACGGGAAGTCGTTGTTCCTCCTAGCTATAAAACAAAGAGCGGAGCGTTGTTCAAAGCTCGGGCTTTGCAGTACTGTTTAGAAGATGGGGTTAATGTTTTGGCCGATACTGACTGGATAGTGCATTTAGATGAAGAAACGCTTCTGACAGAAAATTCAGTTAGAGGAGTTCTAAATTTTGTTTTGGATGGAAAGCACCATTTTGGCCAAGGCCTTATTACATATGCCAACGAGCAAGTTGTGAACTGGGTTACGACTCTGGCAGACAGCTTCCGAGTAGCTGACGACATGGGCAAGCTCCGCGTCCAGTTCTCTATGTTCCACAAGCCTCTGCTCAGCTGGAAGGGCTCGTACGTTGTTACTCAGGTAGGCTTAAGCTACAATATTTTAATATTCCTCAAATTTGTTGATAAACTTGCTATCTATTTAACTGTCCCAAGCATGTTTACATATAGTTAGCATGTTTGAATTACTCTAAAAAAATTACAATTACTGATTGAATTGCCGATGTATACTTACCTGTAGTTAATGGGGAGAAAGACATAAATGTCAATAACATTAACAGCCATTTAGTATTTTGTATAGTATAGATTTATGATGTGACATTTATAATTTTCTAAAACGTCAATAATTACATTAGACTACGCTCCAAATGACTGATTAGATAAATTATAGGCTTCTTATCAGAGGCTCTATAATAAATGTAGGTTTTAGGAGGGCTCCAGAAGTTTTAGGTTTATTGGGGGTGCAAGGAAGAGCGAAATTCCCCCAAAAGAAAGTTGGATTGAAGGAGGAAGGGGGTGTAATTATCACTTGCGCGTCACATGAAAACTGCTGGCCTGTTTCTTGTAGTATTTAGTTTTGTAAGCCATAAGTAGTTCTAGCAGTTACCCTGGACGGAAATCTTGTAGTCAGTTATTATAACCTTATTTAATTCAGAGCATCAGTTTATTTGCATATCAAGTTTGCATTTTTTTAGATATGCAGACAAAAACATTAACACTTCTTGAAAACAATATTTTACAGTTTTAATGCAAACCAAATATGTATAGGTTGCTGTCAAATATTTGTTGTCTCTTAACTTATTCACATTCCCCTTGGTCTGTGTAGTTATAAAAACTGTCACTGCATCTATTTTTAATGCAAGTTTTAATCCAAGACTGCAAATCTAAGGTTTACAAATCGCCGTACCGCACGAAACAAGCTGCTATAATAATGAATAGGTACTAAATAAAATGATTATTTATACTGACATGAACATTGTATTTAGTTGTTGTGAAATGAATGTGCCCTGGTTGGAAATAACAATATTGGCTTCTTCACAAAAGTGGCCTCAAAAGGCAGAAAAGAAAGCATCTTTCTTTAAATTCAGGCAAGGGTTGAAAACATTATACTTAGCAGGGCCGTATTTCTAAATAGGCTAAGTAGGCTGCAGCCTAGAGCGGCAAAATTTAGGGGCGGCAGATTTAAAAAATTAAAATAATTTTTTTTTACATGCAATAATATTTTCCTTACAAATTCAAGTATACATGTCATTTAAATAAAGCTTTTAGAATATTCATACATTCTTATTTTCTATTTCGACATACGTATTATTACACAATCTAATATGTACAATCGCATTGCGCCAACACGCAGCGAGCGGCGATCTGGTGTTGGCAACACTGGAAGCTGGCGACTCTCAGGCGGGCTGCAGCTGGTGGATGTACGACCAGCTGTCTGCGACGAGTTATAAACTATTTACGAACAAGCATTTCTGAAACCAGGCTGAATTCGCTTTCCCTACTATGTATAGAAGCTAATTTAACAAAAAAAGCTTTCTTATGAAGATCTCATTAAAGAGTTTTCAACTAAAAAAGCTCGCAAGAAAGCCTTTTAAATACTGTATACACGATAAATTAGTTATCAGTTTTGTTAACCGCTCAATGAAATACTTGTATTGGACTATACACAAAGTTTTTTTGTCGTTGTAAATATTTCAACTAATAAACCAGTGATTCAAATAATTTCGTCAACTTAAATTTCACCTTGCAGAACTATCTAAATTTAATTTAACAATTTTCCAGTATTAAAAGATATTCAATAGCACAGAAATGTATACATTTCTTATATATAAGAGTGGTCTCAAATGTATTTTATTTGACGTAACATTAACATTATAAATTCAAAAATTTATGATACATGTTATTTTGTATAGTATACAGGTGGAGTTGATTGAGTGAAATGATAATATAGTAATAGTATTCGTAGGTTATATTTTATGTTTGCACGTGTATTTTCGATCGCCGACTACCGAGCGTTACTGTGCAGATCGGCAAAAATTAGTCTGTGCGCATGAATAACCAAATATTACCACGAGGTAGAGCAGGGGTAATTTTCCTATAAATATGTTTACAGCAGTAAATATATACATATATAAGGGGCGGCATGAGGACTTGTAGCCTACAGGCGGCATAAAGGTAAATCCGGCCCTGATACTTAGTACGGTTAAGTAGCGCTTATATGCTGCTATGAAAACAAATTTTAATTTCTAAATATATGCTTACTCTCTAGTGTACTGAATAGAAAAATTACATACTGTATATGAAGTCAATAGGTAAAAATACCCCCGCCGCAGCAAACCTGCAGACTAAGCGAATTTCCATTTGCCTTATTGGATTTACACTAAAATGTCTCCTTAAAAATATCACATTTATTCCCTATTTAAATAGAATCAGTTTATTACATACTTAGGTTTGCTGCAACAGGAAGGGTAAAAGTGTTTTTTATGTAAAATGTTAATATTTAGTAAGAAATAAAAACATTTTCCAAATTTGGGCAAAAAATGTTAATAAACAAGCAAACTACAACAGTTTACTTATTCTCCATAAGAATAACATGGGAATTTTTAATTTACAATTTTTTGAAATTTTCTCCGTAACCATTAGGTGCATTATAACGCTACAATATACTAAATTATTTGTTTTTTTAAGCTCTACAAAATAGATTGGAAAGAAATTGCAAAATTTTATGTTTTTTGAGTCAAAAGTGGGAAAAACCCATTTTTACCCCATAAAACCTCCCATAAACCCCCGTTCCCATTGTCCGATCATGCTGGTTCGCGAACTCGTTCGAATAAACTTAGGTTTACACGTTTGTACCAAATTTCATCAAAATCGGATCGTTTTTGCTCGAGTTATCGCGCTAACGGGCACATATATAAATATATATATATATATATAAATATATATATATGAATTTGAACGGATGGTGTTTTTGGCCTCTAGGGACCTCAAAACGAAAAAAAAAATCGGTCCCGGGTCCAGGTCTTACCATGAGTACTACGGTAATAGCTTATTCCCTATATGGGAAATTCGCTAAAAGAGTAAAGAAAAATAAAACAGAGCTTTCACTATGTCTACCTTATGTTTACGAAACAAATTCCTAACTTATTGATCATTGAGAGACAAATTTCATCAATGTAAATCAAACAACAATTAACAAATCCACCAGACAAAGTGATCCATCATTTAAAAGAACTCCAGTAATTCTAGCTTCAGCTATGTCAGTTAGTATAGCTCAGGGTCTGTCCATTCCATAGAAAGGGTAATATTACCAAATAATAAAGAGTAGACAAAGTGTCTACTCAGGCCCACAGTTTGGAAGTGATACGCTATGGGCCCGAAAGATAATTAATTGCGCTCCTGCCCACCTAACTTGTGGGGGAGTATTCTCTTCCTTCTGGCTCCAACAAACCTAAAAACTCCAGGGTGTCCACATTCTGGAAAGTCAGGGATAGTCATGGAAAGTCATGGAAAAAAATTCTGGTCATTGAAAGTCATGGAAATAGGCAAAAGTCATGGAAAGTCATGGAAATCCCCAATGATGGATGGATTCCAGGGGACCTTTCAATGCTCTAGTGGGTCGTAACCCCAACTATTGTAGCATTTTCCGAATTTTTCACAAATGTACGCCAATTTCAATTTATACAGTTGTCTTAGTTTATGGGTTTTGAGTTTGTATTAGTTCATTGTTGTACCTATTGTACTCCATTGTTATCTGTTATTACATATTTCAATATTTTCTGTGAAATAACTTGTCTAGGCAGTATTATTCGTGTGTATACGGTATATTATAATTTTTGAGTTAAGTTCGTGAGTCGAGTCATGGAAATCAATGGTTAATGGTCATGGATAGTCATGGAAAGTCAGGGAAATTAAAGACAAAATTTCTGTGGACACCCTGAACTCTTACGCCCCTTGGCCCATTTATTGGAGCGGCCACCAGTGTAATCTTAAGAATTGATATAAAATTATTATGAGAGCTATTCACTGAATTTAAAATTTACTCTTTTAACGCTAGGATATTGCTCAATTTTGAGCAAAGAATACTCTGGTTAAATGATTTTAAAAAGATTTAAGTTTGAATGTAATTCCTGACTGAGTAGGCGCGGGGGGAGGCCCATGAACCTTGACCGAGATTTTTCGGAAATCTTACTGGGACCCGGGCCCATGATGGGCTCTGCACATGGACCCCTATCACAACAATATTTATACTAGGGTGGTCTGCCGTTACACTTTAGACGCATAAATGAGCGAAGCATTATTTAAAGATTGTCAATGGCTAAAGCAGCTAACACCCTACAATATGTTCCCTTTCAACAGATTCATCGTTTGTTTGCCCGATATTATTTAAGTTCTAAAGAATGACAAATTTATCTGATAGTTCATACTGTACCTTTGTAGTGAAACTGGCCATCCTGACCATTTGCTTGTACTTTGTAAATGGGCATAGCAGGATGTACTCGTGCAATCAACATTTGTTCTACAATCGTCAGGTCAGTTAATTCGTTCGGGACACTTCACACATCCATATTATTTAACGCCGTGAATTTAGTTGCATTTGAACGACAACGTGAACAAATCGGTGATTGGTTTGAAGCTGTTAGTTGTTGCCGATGACAGTTAGTGCAAGTGTAAAATTTTAGTGCATGTTGGAATTGATTAGCTAACTGTCTATCATTATCAGCTTCTTCCGCCACTGCTTCATCTAGTTCTTCTTGTTCACGACGCCACTCTCTTACAATATTTGCATTATTGGTGCGACGACCAGTATTACGTTGGACCTTTGAGGCATGCTCAAAACAAATATAGCAAAACTGTTACTTCCATTGATAAACTGTTACATTTCAACTTTAACCTAGGATGAAAGTAAACATTGAAATGTAAACAAAACAGTTACAAACAATTAACATATGTTTATCTCATTTAAATGAAACGATATGTCTTATGTCATAAACCCAATATAATTTTTCTTTCAACTTACATTAAAATAACAAGCAAAATTGCGTGACCCGTAAAATAAAATCCAGAAGGAAATTCGCAAAT